CCATATGGCAATTCGATATCCTTACTATATGACGATTCAAATCATTCGATATCCCTACTATATGGCAATTCGATATCCTTACCATATGGCGATTCGATATCCTTACTATATGACGATTCGAATCCCTACCATATGATGATTCAAATCATTTGATATCCCTACCATATAGTGATTCAAATCCCTACTATATGACGATTCGAATCATTTGATATCCCTACTATATAGCGATTTGAATCATTTAATATACCTAAGGGAAGCAAAATTGAAATCTAAAAACAGTTGGGTGCTTATTGCTGGCAGAAAATATCAAACGTCTTACATACCCACAGACCTACAGATGTTTTTTCGGATTTGTCCCAATGGCTTGCCGTAAAAGGGTATCTTTGAGGGGCGTGGGTTGCGGGGAGGGAACAGAACCCCACGTTTCGACTTTGGAGGAAACACAGATAAACAGAATTGGTCGGTCAGCATTATATCACAGCCATTTATCGGAGTTTTTCGTCCTTGCTGCTGGTAGACTGCAGATGTGATTGTCACGACTCACAGACACCTCATCCCTTGTCCATCCGAGACCGGCGATGAATGATTGTAAAGCTGGTCCCGGAGCCAGATACCTTACTAAGCTACTCCTTAAAAGTACATTACCTACTCCACCATCCCAATAATCTGCCTGGTAAACAATTAGTGGTTTGTGGGTGGTGATCAAAAGTCTTGCATTCACCTTGTAGTATTGTCGGTCAAGGAAAGTCCGTCGCAGATAATTCCTTCGCTGTCTGGTGTTGACTCAAATAAGCCAGTTGTGTTTCAAAAACGTGCTGACCTGAAGGATTTATGAACCAGCCAACGGGCCAATCCCCAGCTACCCAGGTGCACCTCTGACGAGATAAGGTTAGGGCAGCCTCGAAGGAAAAGCTAAAACCTTGTTCTGTTTCTAAGCATTAGTAATTATATAACTCAGCGAACATGCTTTGCGCTACTCAGAAAAAGACAGGGGTAACTATAAATATGAGTTTAGATCAACAACCAGCAATCGGTGAACCACGGAGAATATCAAAGAGAAGATTTGACCGCCATGACATCAACCAAAACAACTGTTGTGATAATTGGTGCTTCCTTTGCCGGGGCACCAATTGCGCATTCTCTGCTCAAAGATGTCGCAACGGTGAAGGTTATTCTGATCAACCCCTCTCCAACATTCTACTTCTCCATTGCCGCCCCCCGGATCATGGCCAAACCCACAGCCTTCCGGCCAGAGCAATACTTGATCCCAATTGAGTCGGCATTCAAACAATATCCCTCGGAATCTTTCGAGTTTGTTCAAGGATGGGTGACGGCCATCAATCCCGAAGACAAGTCCGTCATGGTTGACGGTCAAACGACCATCCAATTTGACTACCTGGTCATTGCCGCGGGGAGCACCACCCCTTCAACGACCCGCAGCGACATCCCCGTTCCCTTCAAGCAGTCCAACGCCGATAATATGGCAACGCTGATTGGCAATGCGCAGCAGGCTATCTCATCAGCCTCGCAGATTGTCATAGCCGGTGCAGGTCCAATCGGTGTCGAACTCGCCGGGGAAATCGCCGAAGCCGCGCAAGACCAAGGAAAATCAGTAAAGATTACTCTTGTCTCTGCTTCGGATCGCGTATTACCGATGCTCAAGACGTCAGCCAGCAAAGCTGCGGAAAGCCTGCTTACCCAGAAAAATGTGACGATCATCTCGTCGCAAGCAGTCACAGATGCGATTCTGTCCACCAACGGGACGTGGAACATATCTCTCAGTAAAGGACAGCAGCTCGCCGCCGATCTGTACATTCCCACAACGGGCGTCCTACCCAACAACAGCTTTATTCCTCAACAATGCCTGGATGTTGACGGCTGGGTGAGAGTGGACCATGAGCTTCGCGTACAGGGCGGACAGAATGCACCCTTACCCATCTACGCGGCAGGCGATATAACCAACAATTCGATGCGCCTCTCCTTCAAGGCTGCTGAGCAGGCTTCAGTTGTTGCTGCAAACATAAAGAACGACATTCTTGGCTCAAAGTACAAGAGGAGGGTGTATGATCAAGGAGATAGCATTATGATGATAGTCCCTGTCGGGGCGTCGGGTGGAACGGGGCAGCTGTTCGGTATGACGCCCTGGAGCTTCATGGTCAAGTTAGTCAAGGGGAAAGACTTTTTTGTCTCCAAGGCGCCTTCGTCTATTGGGGCAAGTTAATGGCATGACCTGCTGACTCTCACCTCATGTTGTTGGTTCATCTATTCGGACTGAACCCGCCCCTTACCACAGTAGTTTTACTCTCCCATAGAAGATCTAAGAACTCAGGCTCCATTGCTCTCCAAAATCAGGCGTTCCTTGCTTTTATATAGATTAATAATTATTAGACAGATAGCTTATACCCAGTCAACTACTATGTACTCCGATGAACATTACTGAATACATAGTATATAAAACAGCCTTGTTGGGGATTGGGTTCCAATTATTGGTAACGAATCTTTCCGTTTAACTTGAGCAAGGTTCATCAAGCCGATATGCAAAAAATGCGTACCACCAACCCCAATCCAACTCGATCGCGTCAGCTAATCTCACAGTGACAACGTTGGTGCCTATGTATGTCAATATTTCTAGCACTGCTTTAGGCGATTATTAGAACCACCTACCTGCTGGAATCCTGAAAGTTCCCCAGAATCCTCCATGGGAGATGCTCACATAAGGTGATGGAGCATCAATTCCGACTCCCAGTTTGTCCAGCCCAGGCAAATGTTCCCTATTAGACATTTCGTTCTCTGGCAAAGTCAAAGGTCCGTGGGTCTTCCCAATTAGCTTATTATCAGCATAGACTTCAAATACTTCTGCAGGGCTCCAATTATCAGCAATAGTGAGCAGGATGTCACGACCCCTAGTTTCAAATGCAATTGGGATATCTGCAGTCACTCCAAGCTTCCAACCACCACCTTGGCTTCTTTGGTTTTTCCAATCTTGCAATTGCCTTCCCACACAAGGTGTGTAATTCCCACAAGCCCCGTAGAATGTATATTGGGCTCTAGCTGCCCCCTTATTGACGACACGGACATTGCTTGCCAATGTACCTAGAAAGATTGTTATTGGCATCGGTTGCCACTTGTAGAAAGCCACATAGGCGCTCTTACCAGCTGGAATGAAAAAGTCTCTTCCGTCATGCTCATCAATCTTGGTTCCGTTAATGGAGACTTCTAGCATGCCGGCTTCAGAAGCTGTGAGCCAAGTGTCCACCGAATAGCGATAGGGGATCCTGTCTTTTCTTCGAGCATCATATCTCATATTTGGATGTGGTGATCCGATAGCCCCCATTCCAGAATAGAGTTGCTCATTTCCATAGTGATATTTCAGCCACTTGCATGCTGGGCCTGGCTTTTCAGGGGTTGGCTTTTCGGGCGTTGTAACCTCAATTTGACAATTCCTTCCATCTGCACCACAGTTGGAGTAAGCCATCCATGCCCTGGTCGCATTGAAGTCGTCACCCAGGTTCTGAACCTCCGTTCTGAGCCGCAGGATCGAATGTAGACGGAGCGATCGTAATCTTGCTGTCCGGGATACTACAGTAGCGTATCATCTGCTCATGTTGTTCTCGAAACCGAGTAGGTCGAAGACAGAACCACGCGACTTCCCGTCGTTGGTAACTGACAAGATGAATGCTAGGTGGCAGTCTCACCTGCACGATGTTTTCCCCGCTTCCAGAGCCGCTTGCTCTTCCTGAAGGCATTCATTGTGGAGGATTTGCTCGACACAGTGATATAGATCAGCGCTCTCCGATTTCAGAAAGCTAAATGCAGAAGAGCAGACTGGTATAGTAAAAAGATTGGGCGGGAGATTAAATAGGATCATGGAAAGGAAGTTGATGTCGGTGGAACGTACTGGGTTCCTGAGATTATACATAGTAAGAAGATATTAAGAAGTTTACAAAGATCCATATGCTTGTTGGATCGGAATCAACCGTAAATAGCCATTTTGTAAAGACAGATGAGAAGTACAATCACTGGAGAGCCATAAGATCAGAAGCCATGTCGGATACCCTTTGTATTTCAAAAGCGCACAGTGAACAAATCGTCGAAAGATCAGAAAGAACAGGTTCAAGGTGCAGCAGCAGTATTTTCGGTTTCAGCAGCCTCCTCCTCCTCCTTAACAGATGATTCAATATTATCATCCTCCTCAAATGGCACAAAGTCCTCCAAAGTAAAGCCACGAGTGTCACCTACTGGCTTGCTAGCCATCCACTGTATGAAGAGAGTCGTCGAGGAGCTCAAAGTCGCACGCGTAGAGAAGTCGTACAGCATTGACTTGCGGATCACCAGTTTGTCGCCATTAAAAAAAGCTTGTATTATCCTTGCTTTGTAGTCGGACATGATCGAGAACATAAGAACCTGGGATAACAGAAATCCCAAATCAGCGACTGACGCTCTCCGAACACAATGGCGCTGAATCAAATTGTACTTACCGGTATGACTACCTCATCCTGATAACACTCGAGTTCAAGACGAGTAATCGTAGTGGCAAGGATGGCGAGGATTTCACCTCTGAGGAGTTCCTCAGTACCTTTGAAGCTGTAAAATTCAAATATACACATAATATGAGGAAGAGGGGTGGATTGTGCCTCCCACCAAGCCGCGGGCGAGGGCGAGTAACCGCGCTGTCTGTAGACGCCAGGCATGAAGTACTCCTGTATAAAATCAGGGAATTCGCTGCGAGAAATGAGATACATCAGCAAGAACATTCCTGGTAACTGAGACGAAGTGAGGCACGTACGCTTGTCTCCATGCTGTAATGTCGATCAATCGTCCTCGGCGACCTGGGATCCCGTTCCTGCGAAACAAGCCAAAGTGCCGCATAAGACGGTAGGACACCACCTGCGAGGTGTCATCTTCCTTAGTCTTATCGAATATATTTTCATAGTTCTGATAGTCTTTTGTGGCACTGTCTTCAGGTGTGATTTGATGATTTTTGAGGGTCTCAAGCGGAAATGGGTCAAAAAAGTTCGGAGCGGGGATTCCATTGGCATACTCCCCGTCGTCCTTCAGGTCCAAAGTTTCACAGCGAATCTTCAACTTGTCATAAGTTGTTGGATCAAAGAAGGGTTTGCCCAAGTCATAAGCCTTCCTGTAGATGCTGTCAAGGTCGTCGATCAGCTTAGCACAGCGTTCCTTGAATTCCCGCTCTTTCCGTAACACCTGCTCATTTTCCCGCAGCGACGGCCCCTTGACGAAGGGCAGGCAAAGGCCCCTCCAGGTCTCCCACGTGCTCATCTTGGGGGTTACGTCTGGTTCGAAATGCTTTTCTGAACGGCTTCTTCAGCCTCACTGGTAATTTTGAAAGTTGATCAGACGTCGTGATACCGAGTCGGGCGACGACTCTCCTTGAAGGCTTGAAGAAAAGAGAACGTCAAAGTGTCGTTGGGGAAAATGAAAAGAAAGGGAAAATGGGACAGGGTTCAGTTGGCGGAAATGATGAGACAATTTGTCTCAGGTAAGGTAAGCTCAACGATCATCCAAGATTCAAGAGATTGGATGGCAAATCAGCATCTCATCTCAAGAAAAATAACCTTAGAATAAAAGCCCATGACAGCTGATACCTAGTCTGTATTAGGTACCGCGCCTGGACGACCCTGCGAGGGACGGCTTCCTATTGGTTCAATAGTCCGTCACCTGTGGGGCGGTGGGTACCCGCATCGCTCTTCCGCAAGGTGAACTCAAACTATACGCTGTACCTGGCCATCCTAAGCTAATGAATATGAGAATCCCAGCGACTATCGGGGAATGGCTAGAGCTTCGCAACAGTCATAAGCTCAAAAACAAGACCTTGAGCAATCTAGGCAATCTCAGATCAGGGTCGAATGTCAAACCAGAGCAATTTATACTATTTCGGACCATCTGGCTACCATTGGAGAACAGAGACGGGTTCAAAGCGGCGTCGGGAATTCAGCCAAAGCATTGGATTGGGCGGAAGCGGGGAACGTTCTGAATGGTTCCACGTCCCTTCAAAAGTTTCTGCAATTGGCCAAGGGAACCGTGAGTTTGGTCGATCTGAACGAATTGGACAGTGCATGAATCTTTGCATTTAACTTGAGCATAGTTCTTAAATTCTAACTGCCAGTTTCACCAGGCCAGACAAGTGTTCTCCATTAGACATTTCAGCTTCTGGCAAAGTCAAAGGTCCATTGGTCTTCCCAATTAGCTGATAATCAGCATAGACTTCAAATACTTCTGCAGGGCCCCCATTATCAGCAATAGTGAGCATGATGTCACTTTAAGAGGCGAAATGCTTTCACTGCGTCCTTTCATTCACCATCCTGATTCCTTGGGTCTCCATTCACTGCCAGCTTAGCTTCCTCTACTGCCATCATTCGCGCGGCCTTTAGAATATCTCTCTTAACTTCCTGAATATCCAATAATCAGTTTCAACAAATATACCAAGGAGTTTGACGATTCCTTGTCCAAGAAGTCATCCGGCTTTTGGAGCCCAGAGACGGGACAGTCAGGTATGTATAAAGGAACAACACAAGCCATAAATCAAGCAGGGACCTTATTTTTATCAGGGCTTCCTAAAACAGATCGACACTGATATGATATCCTATTAGGCCTATAAGTCAGCGCCCAGTTTTTGCTGAAATTGGGCATTGATTCAAACCAGAACGACCTAGGTATTCCATCAATATTGGCAATCATCGGATATGCAAACGATGTTCCAGTTCAGTCGCATGGATCAGCCGAGGTTATCCGTTGGCTGAAGCGCCAGGGCAGGAGAGCGGCCTGAATGGCTCTAGGTAGATATGCCCATTACCACCGACATCTTTTCTATGAATATGTGGCTGACAGATTAGTTGGATCATCATCGAATAAGGCCTCGTTACCTCGAGTACATGGATCGCACCCTGCCAACGACCACAACTCAACAGGACGCTTTTATAATGGTGAACTCTATTCTCCGTGGAGGATTGATAGGGCCTACCGCTAAGAGAGCAGTGACGCTCAGCAGACTGAGATGTTCGTCGCTGGACATCAAGGGCCATGAAGGCTTCGCATCCTACCTCGCCAGATGAAAAGGAAGTGAACGTGCACTTAGTCCTGCTAATCCAGGAGCTAGTCAACCTAAAGAGGTCGTCCAGTATCCAGTGCACAGTTACGCGTGTCCGGTTTGTTCCCAAATTTGGGACACAATCATACACGGCCGTTGTTGATGGCGTGGTACAGTCCAGGAGGACAGACAAAGTTCTGTCCATCCTGGAGGTAAAGCCGACGCCTAGGTTTGGGAAGCAGGCTCCTGTCCAGATGCAGGAGACGGCCGAGGCCGTTGGATGGCTCAAGCACCAATCTGAGGGAGTTCCGAAGCTCCAGGAAGGAAGGTAGATATAACTCACCATCAACGTAATTTTTATAGATACATGGCTAACAGATCAGTCGCCTCATAATTTACCAGGGCAAAAAGGAGGTGTTCCTCACCCTCGCGGCTCCAGGTGCTCGTTACGTTGAGTACCTGGCCAGGACAGTCCCGACCACCACCGCCGAACCTGAGGAATTCATGAAGATGCAGTCCTTTGGACCTTGGAGCATCAAGAAGGAGACTCACCTCCAAAGCCTATGCTGGGCACTGCTGGCATTTCTGTCAGCCGCTGAGGAGGTGGCGCACTAAGCCATCTTCTCCATCTGCCTGGCTGTTGCGTTGAGTTGATGGACGGTTGCTTGGTGGGGGGAGCTTGGCGAGTTCTATTCGGACGGCTGATGAGATCTCGTACGGGCGGGTATGTGGCGTACTATGACTATGGGGTTAACCTGCACATACAATGAGGATTTTCTTCGGCTTTGCGTGACTTGTGTTCAACCTCTCCAGTCTCCACACTTCTGGCTATCCCCACCCCATTGTGCGGGGATCCATCAATATCCGCCAGGCGGGCAGACAGTCGAGACTTTATTTCAACCACACTCATTCCATATCGCTGCTCTTAACGTATCTCCATCTGTCTCATTCAACCCAACCTAAACAACATCACTCAACATGGCCCTGCCACAACTCCTCTCCCCCAAACCCTTCCTCACAGAATGCGGCATGGAAACATGCCTCGTCTACAAAGACAAAGTCCACCTCCCCTGCTTCTCCTCCCTGCCTCTAGTCGACTCCGAGTCCGGCCGCAAACTCATCTCCCACTACTACAACTCATACATCTCCATCGCTGCCACCAACGGCACCGGTATCGTCCTAGACACTCGCACCTGGCGTGGCGCCACACCCTGGGCGCAACCCATGGGTTTCTCCACTGGGAAACTCCTCGACCTTAATCGCGCCGCGGTACGACTAGCCAAGGAAGCTAGGAATAACGCCATGGGCGGGGAGAACAATATTCCCATCGTGATCAGCGGGACGATGGGGCCTCTGCGAGACGCGTACGAGGATACGAGTGCATCGATCACCCTGGAGGATGCGCGCGAGGGGTACAAGGAGCAGGTGGGGGTGCTTGCGGATGCGGGGGTGGATTTGCTGGCGATTATGACGATGACGAATTTGAATGAGGCGATTGCGGTGGTGGAGTTGGCGAGGGAGGTGCGCTTGCCGGTTGTTGTGGTGTTTAGTATTGAGTCTGATGGGAGGTTGCTTGGTGGGAGGAGCTTGGAGAGTGCTATTCGCACGGTTGATGAGAGTACGGGTGGGTATGTGGCGTACTATGGCGTTAACTGTGCGCATCCGCTGCGGATTTCTGCGGCGTTGCGCGATGTGCCGGAGGATGTGCGCGGGAGGATTGGATTGATCAAGGGGAATGCGAGTCTGAAGAGTCATGATGAGCTGGATAATAGTGAGACCCTTGATCGGGGGGATATTTCTGTCTTTACGGATGGGTTTGAGGGCGTGTTGCCGTTGGTTCCTAATGTCAAGGTTATTGGGGGGTGTTGCGGTACCGACGAAGAGCATCTGGAAGCTATCGCTAAACGGTGCATCAAATAGATCTTCGGTGGGGAGTATTACGCATTGGATATAGCTTATTCTCGCTGAGAGTGTACATAGTTTGACAATATGAAGCATCATATTCGATTCGAGAAACGCGCCCGCGCTGTACTTGCCAGCAGAATGAGATAGCTGCCTACTTCAAATAGTCCCCGTTCGTCTCCTGATGAATCACATCAAACATGGGCTTCGCACTGAACCACCCAGCTATCGGAGTCCCAACCGTCTTGTAAGTGAATGCAGCATCCGCATCATCAATCTTAATAGTCTGTCCGCCCCGTCCAGCAGCCGCAGCGTCCGCTAAGAGTTGCGCATAGCAGCACTTTTCCAGAGAAACAAACCAGAAGACGGTCTCTTCAACCGTCCGACCAACAGTCAGAAGACCATGGTTCTGCAGCAACGCTGCCTTCTTATTCCCAAGCTCTCGAGCAATGTTCTTGCCTTCTTCCTCCGCAAGAACGACACCGTTGAATTGCTTGTAGACAATGTGGTCCTGCGACTGTCAGCTTTTATGCGCAGCTCGTGCAGGGAAACGTACATTGTAGAATGCGCACGAATCCTGAGTAATGATATCCAGCGGTCGTCCCAGAGTGCAGAAAGCTCGGCCATGAAGGCTGTGGCTGTGCGCAGCACACACGACATCGGGTCTAGCAGCATGGATGGCGGAATGAATCATGAACGCCGCTGCGTTGAGCAAGCGAACCTCGCCTCCATCGACGACTTGCCCTTCGTGATTCACGCGAATCAAATCAGACGCCTTGATTTGCGAGAATGCTACGCCGAACGGATTGACCCAGAAAGTGTCCGGTTCAACGGGATCACGCAGCGTGATATGGCCGGCCACACCTACCATTGTCAATCAGTGGAAATACGTTCCGGAACTATGGTGGTCATACCCTCGTCGTATCCATACTTGCCGAAAATGCGAAACGCGGCCGCTAGACGTCCTTTGAGGTACTCACGCTCCTCCATTTTGTCCTCGAATACTGGTTGCTTGGGCGTAGTCATCTTAACCTTGGCCTTTTCCGCACCGGCCGCCTGGGACGACTCTGGTGATTGGAGGGTGACATTGGAGGAGACGGTTTCTGTGGCGGTTGGAGGGGCCATTTCGACAGGGCTATTTTATATATCAATAAATCTCTTTTGGATTGCCAGGATTATAGGATAGTTGTATTATGTTAAATATCAGCGAAAACTGAGGACTATGTTTGTAGTCTGGTGGTGACATGACATCAACCCCAGATTATGCGGAGTTTATCGTTCTAAGCGGGGTAAGTTCGTTGCGCCCTGCATTGCCGATCAGCATCCGAGGTTTCGTACCCATCAACCGAATCATCGGACCATGGTTATCATTACAAGGCCAATGGTTTCACTCGTGGCTACAATTATAGCTTCAGTGTCAGATGCGACGAATGGGTACCTTTTATCCTTTCACGCTTATGAGTCCAATGCGAAAACTACAAGGTGACAATATATATCTTGGGCAATCAACCGGTCTCTCCATCTATCGCAAAAACCACCACAGGAAACGACCTTCCACTAGCCCATAGATTTGTCCAGCCGCGTGATATTCTCATCCTTCATCTGCTCAACCCACTTATCCTTGCGAACACACCAGATCTCCATCGCCAACTCCCCACATTCATCCCTGTACGGATCATCCAGCGTCCCCGTTTTGATAACAATGATTTCGTCCTGACCACTCGGCTCAGACGTGAAGGGCGTCCCACAGTCCCCGCAGAACATCCGGAGAACACCTGCGCCGCGCTCGCTCTTATCGATGTAAAGTTTCGGCTGGCCCTTGGTCCAGTGGAGGCTTGTCTTGGGGACGACAATGTTGGCGGAGAAGCCGGAGCCAGTGTAGCGTTTGCAGTTAATGCAATGGCAGAGAATAACCTATGAGACGAGTTGCAGGTCAGTGAATGATTGGTGAGAGCTTGGAGACTGTAGGGTGAGAATAAGGACCTTGGGAGTTGTGGAGTCGGGGAGATCGATCCGGTACGTCACGGCGTTGCAGAGGCAGGTGCCTGTATAGGACTTTTGAGACATGTTGACTAGATATCGAGTCCAATTGTTTGTTTCTACCGTCTAATTAATTTTATGGAAACGGTTCACTTAATGCGAAGCTGAATAAATATTGTTGTCTTCCAGTCAGCAGCAAAGAGCTGCATAGGTGAGGAGAGGGGTAAAGTGTTATGTAAGCAGGGATGACAACAGGGCGCAAAAGAACCTCGCGCGTGCGGACAAAAGTGGAGATAACTACAGGCTTGCGAGTGTTACCGTGATGAACAATATCAGAAATAGAGTATTCTCTGATGAAGACAAGGTATATTTAGGTGAACGGCAGCCTTCGGCTCAGTTGGTTGGCTTGAGCAACCATATTCATCAACGCGTCGTACATGGCTCTATCTGCAGCGTTCATTGCCTGAAAGGACCCTGACTTCCCCAACAGCGGCTTCAAGTCGGCACCGCAGACAGTTCCCGGATCGGGCAACACGCCGCTCTGGAAATAAGCGCGAATAGCCTTGCTCACGCACAGCGATGGTGCGGCTAAGGTGGTGTGCTACTGATGGTTAGAGTCGGAATTGACGACATTCTCTGACAACGTAAGGTGATAGAATGGTAGGAGGGATAATGCTTACTCCTTCCGAGTCTTGTTGGAGTACGACTGATGCAGGGAAGTTTTTAGACATCTTCTTCGCACTGCGAATCACCAACAGTCAGCATAGTGGTGGAATTGCGGAGAGAACATGAGATTAGAGACCTGCCTTCTCAACGGAGTGACTGGATCCAGAGTATTGCTCACAAGAAGAATTGGATGAGATGTATTGCCTGTGTACGGCCCTATCAAGATTTGGTGAGAAAAGAGCGTATTAGATTGATGGCCAGCATACCTGTCAACTGCCATTTCGGCCTCGACGTGTGCCCAACGCACCCTAGTGCAGTGGCAGCAGCCCAATAATCCCCCAAGGTAAAACTCAGGGCTTTCTGAGACGCCCATGCTTCTTGGAAACGTGCTTGGTCCATGTGTAGATATGGGGCATCGGAGCATAAGATTGCCGACATGGCATAGAGTTCATTCGCCCCTTTCTCAAGACACTTGTCAGACCACGGCCCTGTTCGCATGCATTGGTTAGATGGACACGAAGGCGAGCGAGATCGCTGTTTGAAGTCGGCCATCGGAGACCCATCACCCTCGGCCAGTGACTTTGCGTAGTGTGCTAGCAGAGGAAATACAAGTAGAGGTTGGTACACCGAGTAGCGAAGAACAGATTTCAGATCGGTCCACGTAAGGACTTCAGGCCCCCGCGTGGCTGACGGTGCTACTGGCAGTGATGCGTTGTATAGCGCCGCTTCTAGTTCCAGATATGCGGCTTTGATGGCTGCAGGGCCTCCTTGCGTATAGAAGGGACATCCATCTAGCCCCGAAATGTCGCAGTAGAATGCAAAACGGTCGAAGATTGCGTCAGCATCAGCAATCGAGTCAGGTCCTTCCCCAGTGTAGTACTTGTTGACATCAACCACGGCGTCCAGTAGAACACGCTCGATCCGATCAGGAAACATCGTCGCAAAGGTGCTTCCGAGCACAGTTCCGTACGAACGGCCCCAGTACAGAAGCTTCTCTTGTCCTCTCTTCCACGTGGTTCGTGCCACGATTCTCTGTTGTTGGTCATACCCGTAGGTGCGATCGTACTCCCTTTGTTCGACCTGACCTTGCCTTTCCCGCCATTCACCATGTCGCTCAATGATTTCGAGCATATCCCTCGCAACTGGCGGTGTATTAAGATGCTCCCCGAGAGCTTCATCAGTCCCCTCCGGCGCGGACTGTAGTGCCTGGGAGCAAGCAGCGCCAAGAGCAAGGGCACGCTGCCAACTGCGCATGAGGGAATCGTCGGAACTACCCAGCATGCCATCCGCCTCCACCTGGAGCTCCCAGTTCCTCTGCGAAAATGAATCGGGGAAACAGCTGAACCCGGGAGTTGTGTTGTTAACGCCACGTGGATCAAAGCCGATGATATCAAAGTATCGAGCCGACGAGTTCGCAGTTTTCGTGGGCAATGCAGGATCGGCTTCCGCATCAATGATCGTCTGCATGTCCCGACCGGACAACAAAGCCTCTCCGACACCAGAACCGCCAGGGCCCCCTGTCTTCATCAGAGTCTGAGGTGGAAAGAAGGGGGAAGTCGAGAATACCGGGATTGATTAGAACTGCACCGCCATACCGGGAGTCCGTCACCGGGACCTTTGCAGGTAAGCGCGCAATGGCAATAGCCATCTGACGGCCGTGACCGTTCTCTCGATGATAGTCCATAGGCACCTCAAGTCGGGCGCACTGGAAGCCGTCGAAGCAATCATGGTATTCCAGAGATTTAGAAGGTGTAATCTGTGTATGCTGTTAGAATAGAAGCTAATCGAAATAGATCCCTGTCGTACCTGGTCCCAACTGAACGCCGGCGGTGGTGCGTTCTTCTCTCCCTTTGTTGTTGACTGATGGACTCTGTCAGGCAGCATCAACCACAAAAAACCGGCCAATCCCATCAACGCCAGCGCCATGGGACGAGCCTTGTTCCGCCGACCTGGAATAGGCGGAGACGGTCGGGAAGTCCCATTCTGCTTTTCCAGAACCATGGGTGCGTTGGAATCCCTCTTGACGGCATGGAGCGAGGATGAATCCATAATCCCTAAAGATACATTTCGAGGATTTTGACCTGGAGGAGGACCTGCAATGAATCATTTCCCCAACCACAGGGATGGCGCCCTTTGGTGGGCGAGGTGCAGCACCTAGCCCGCTGCTGACCATCCTCGGCATGACAACAAGCAACAGCGAATCATAACACGATGAATTGGGACAAGGGAAAGGCGGCAGTGACCCCAAGAATCTGACTGGATCAGTGAATTGCAAATTTGGCTAGAAAGAATGCAGTTTCGGAGGAGGCCAATACCACAGAGACACTGATCGACCTAAGTGGGGTTATTGCGTCTCACTAGGATTGTTATCGATCCCCGTCCAACCTTTATGGAGAAGTCTCTTTTTCACTTACCACACTTTTATTGGTTTCCTCCAAGATCAGGCCTGTTCCTGACGCGGTGGACATATTTCAATAGATAAGAAGAATGCTATCAGGGGTAGGACTTTGGTAGTGACCGCAGTGGCACAAAATCATCATTCTTTTACTCCTATTATTTTGACGCGTACCGCGTCGGTCATGTGATCCCCCAGCAGTCAGTTTCGAGCTGAGATTCAAAGTGGCCTTGATGGATAGCTGTGGCTCACTTCAAAACCAAATGTAGTTATTATGGGCTGATGAGGAGATCCTAGGTTTGAAGGTCATCTTAATCCTCGCTCTCGAATCTCGAAGAGGAGTAGGCCTCAGGACGCCCTCTTGTCGCTTGTACATTGTTCATCCATAGACGGAAGCAGAGCCCTCAAGCAAGGCACTGTATGGTTCTCATCTGAATAGACGATGCGCTGCCGTGGTCCGAATCAACTACTTGTTGCTCTAGCTGCAATGAGGCAGTCACTGCTTTGCTTCTGTGCTGGATCTACTTGATGTTCGATAGTCCATGTCGATCCTCAGCGTCACTTACTCCTTTCGGCATCCATGGCTTCCTTCCACCCGCAACTCCTTACTGGACGGACCGCTCGCCAATTTGGATATAATATGGACAGACAAGGGTGCGATCTGCCGGTGGAATGTCGGAGATCCCTCGCTAGAATTCCCTTTTTCTCTTCCTTCAAACTGATGATGATCAATACCCTGATTGCATGTCGTCGCGGTGGTTTACTTCCGAGCCGTTGACACTGTGATTGCAACTCGTTGTTTGCACACATCTGGCCCGGATTATCCTTTGATTTTATTCCTTGTTTTCTGATAGTCCACATCGGTCAACTTCTATGGTTCGGATACATCCGCATCTTAGCATCTTCTCCTTCAGATTCTCTCCTATTGCCGGCAAGCGGGCCATTCTGCAAGTAGAGACATAGTATGAAATGATTCTAGATCCGGATATCGATGGGCCTCGATACAAGTATCATTCGGAAGACGGGCCCGATCAACGATCATTTGTCGACCTCGGAAAATGGACAAGCCAACGCTCATAACGACGTTCTCGAGTAAACGATGAAATTCCAAAGGGCGCCAGCGTCACTAGGATCGAAATCATTGACGCAGTGAGCAGCCCGAGAGGCAAATATGTTCTGTATGCTGGGTAGTATATGAGGCTTGTATATGCACGAAACTTACTGATTTAAACTAGGCTGGTAATGGTGATGATCGATTTGTACATACTTTCTTTGACCTCAGAATTTGGCGATGGGTGTTAACCACATTGATGCAGTGAACTGGACAATTCCACGGTGAGTACCTATCGTAACTTTGCAGCGTCCGATTTCATCCAGGTTTCGACGTTGGCGACATTGAACACCGTCACAAGTATCGTTTCCGCTGTCAGCAAACCACCGATTGCCAAATTGTCAACGATTTAGGGAGAGCGGATAACGGACATAATCTCGTAGAAAAATCTCAACTGTCAAATATTCCAATGGCTGATGTGGACTGTGTATGTGACTCATCCAGATGAAGTCATTGATATTCTGTCGGTGCTTGCCTTGGTCATAGAGTTCTGCACGGACAACATAAATATCGATTTCAAGTTTCCAAGATAGCGCTCTAACCCACATGTTTGTCGTGTAATTGACAGACTCTGACGTCCGGTGACAAAGAAACAGCCACTGTCTACGTCTCATCAATCCTCAGCGTGAAAGGCCGAAAGATACGTGGGTAMATGCATAGGCAGGCAGGCATTGGTTCCATACTCCGCTCTTTTCCGCAAAGCTGTTTGCCTCTAAGATGTCTGGTCATATTGGCCATTCCTTTGACGGCCTGAACGGCCTGAAAGGGGTTGGGTCTCAGATTTCCTTCAACTGAGCAGATGATCCCTCTTTGTATGTCAGCATTTTGCCCTCCCTCTGCCTCTCCATCAATGAGGCGGTAGAAGCATAAATACCGTCGTCTCCCTTTCCTGTCCATCAATTATCCATCTCCTATATACCTCCTCTACATCTTCTCTCTTATATATTCCTCCTCGTTATACTCTTACAGCAATGCCGGGCTGAGGTACATTGTCGTCGGAGGTGGTGCATGTGGCCAACGCCCTGGTTTACAACAACAGCAGCTATGGTGCTGCCTTCGGATCCTGAACTGACTATGGCTACCAATATGTCCCTCAGACCTACATGGGGAACTAGGTTGAGAGCCTGCGTGCGGGAAAGGCTCTAGGTGGGTCTACCATGATCAACGGTATGTCTACACCCGTGCCGAAGAAGGCCAGATCGACGCCTGGGAGGAGATTGCTAACGAGGGTTGGGACTGGAAGGACCTCTTCCCTCGCTATGAGGAGAGCAGGGACATTCAGGTTTATACTACCACCCAGGACAGCGCAGGTGACGACTATAACCCTTTATATAACTGCAACTCTGGCCCTCTGCTTGTGGGATGGACTTGTGATATGCAGAACAGCAGCATCCACGCTGAGCTGAATCTCACCTACCAGCACCTGGGTATCCCCCAGACGATTATTGTCCTCTCTATACAGTATGTTCTCGTCACCCTGGCTCCACTTTTATCGATGTCCCGCTCATTGTGTTTACTCAAAGCTCTATACACAAGTATCAAGACCGCCTGGCGATGGCTTTTGTACACACAAGGCCGTGGTCCTGCGTGAAGGACTTCTATCGCGAACAACACAATCTTTTTATCATGCTCCATGGTTTAAGCCACTCGCCACTTCGCATCCATCCATATATTGCCTCCCTTGCTCGTCTTAGATCGCTGATTATTCGGTTGGTATGTTAACTCATCCATCTCTTGACCTGTACTGGACAGTAAAGACCATCTGCTGACTTGCCTTTTATGAAGATAGCTGAGAGCATGGAGTATGGGACAGCCCCTCTGCCGCACCGGGAGAGGCATTTGCGTCGCTGTCCTCCGCCGAACAGGACCTCAAAAATCATCAACAGCTGTGCCACATCGAGGACTTTGAAGTTTCGATCCAGTTTGTCATTATACCGCTTTATAATGCTTCTCGCCAAGTCCATCTCTCGTTCGGTCATAGTTCGTGGTTGCCACGCTTACGCTTCACACACCGCGACACAAATCCAGGCTATATACTTCCATCACCCGGGTCCCACAAAAAATACACTTCGACTACAAAAGGTGCCATGACACATCAAACTCCTTTCCAGCGCCCCTCTACATGATGACGACACAGGTGTACGGGATGTATGAGGGGCCTTGTTTGCGAAAAGTTGGACATTGGTGTCTTTCCGCAAAGCCGGTGAGAGCTTCAGCGGGCGAGCAGTTTACCGTGATGGATGCTGCGGTTTGCCTCGAATTTGTGTGTATGTTCGTAATTTGTATGCTGTCACAGCATCTTGGGGTTGCAGTCGTGTTTGAGGTCGGCAAAGCCGGTCATGGCACCTATGGCAGTAACAAGATATAATGATGCAGGGTTTGTATATAGAAGTTTCCGACTAGTGGAGCAAATAATGTATGTGGATGAAAATGAAAAGACAAACTCCTAGATATCGTACGAACTTATTCATTCCAAATTTCAGTACACGCTGCCAGATATTTAACTCAAAACTATTACAAGATATATCTGAATCCCTCCTGCAGCCGACGCGCAGCCGCAATATCAATACCCTCAATCTCCGCCGTGCGCTCCAACCGCCGCATCTCCTTATCTGTCAGAGTCACCTCGCTATCCTCCAGCCGCTCCTGGCGCTTGTTCAACGAGCGCAGATGGAAGTACATGATGATGGCCATGATGCCACCGAGGGTCTGCAGCCCGATACACACGCCTAGAGCGGGACGGTAGTGCGGGGCGTCCTGCTTGCGGAAGGTGAAGGGGGTCCAGATACTGGCGGAGTTACCGATGGAGTTGATGAAGGCGTAGGCGGCGGCGCGCTTAGCCGGGGGACGATTGATGGCGTTTCCGATCCAGGCGTAGATGGTGCCGTTCTGGGCGAAGATGATGTTCATGAGGAAGAAGGAAAAGTACTTGGGTCCGAAGCCGTCGGTTGTCATGAAGATGATGAAGCCGATGATGGTGACGGGGATGGGGTAGAAGAAGAACCAGAAGCGTTTGCCGAAGCGGTCGGACAAGTGCGAGTGCACCAGGCTGTAGAAGACGACGAAGATGTAGGGCGGTGCGACGAGCAGGAGGGAAATAAAGTGGTTGTAGCCGAGTGTTGCTGTGAGCGTGGGGAAGAAGTTCTGGAAGCCGCTGGCGCCGGTGATGGACATGTAGGCGATGGCGAGAACGTAGGTCTTAATGTCGCTGAAGGCGAGCTTGAGACCCTTGACCTGGCTCATCTTGCCGGCTTCATCCACGTCGGCATCGGCAGCTTCGATGGCCAGTCGGCGGTTGGCGACGTGGCGTTCCTCTTCGGAGAGGAGCTTCCAGGTGGAGGGGAAGTCAGGCAGGAATACCATGACCGCGAGGCCGACGGCTATGGTGATGGAGCCCTCAATAATGTACAGCCATTTCCAGGCTGCGAGGCCGTGTTTCCCATCGAGTCCCTTTAGGATACCGGCCGCGATGAGATTTCCGAATGCTCCGCTGAGCAGGGAGCCCGAGTAGAAGATACTCATGCGCAGAGCTAGCTCCTTCTT